GGTTCCGAAGCACTGACTGACCTTCTAGAGCCCTGTCCTTCTCTAGTCTCTTCCTCATGTATTCTGTCTTGTATACAACACATGAGGTCTATTTCTGAAATACACATCTGGTCTTCTCACTTGTCAGCTTGGTTTCCTTAGAAGCAGACTCTGAGACAAGGGATCAAATACAAATTATTTATGAGGTAAAAGACGGGGTATGGAAAATGAGACATGGATCAGAAGGCAGTCATTAAGAGTTACATTATCAAGCCAGTTACTCTAAGCAGCTGGAGCTTAGTCTTCATGGAGAAACTCTGAAAAACAGTATAGAACACACTTCAAAAGTTATCAGTTATTTCACGAAGGACTAGGGAGCTGGGGTGTTTACCCACCAAATTCTGAGAGTCATTGGTAAGTTACAATCAAAAGAAGGTAATGTTAATTCTCTGGAACTGCTGGCCTGCCCCACCAGCAGCCAAAGTAGCTTTCATGGCCAGAGGAAACATGGATGAAGAAATACAGGTGTGGCCGGACTCGGTGGCTCAGCCTGTAATCCCACGCTTTGGGAGGCCGAGGTGAGTGGATTGCCTGAGCCCGTGGGTTCGAGACCCGCCTGGCCAACTTGGCGAGACCTCATCTCTACAATAAATCAAAAATTAGCTGGGCGTGGTAGCGCGCGCCTGTAGTTCCAGCTGCTTGGAAGACTGAGGTGGAAGGATCGCCGGAGCCCCAGCAGGTGGGGGCTGCAGTGGCCAGGAACGGCCACTACACTCCAGTCTGGGTGACTGAGTGAGACTCCAACTCAAAAAAAAAAAAAAAAAAGAAATACAGGTGCTGGCAATTGGAAGTCAGACTGAAATGGACTGAAGCAGTGAGGATGAGAGTATATAGATGGGATACCAACAGTATCTACAATTACAATAACCTCTCAAATGTCTCCCTAGAGAAACAAAAGTCTATTATTTTATGACACACTGAGTCCTTTATAGCCTGAACTAGACATCTCCCTGTGCATGCACCCTTCATTTCAGCCATGCAAATTGCCTGTAGCCACACCCTCATACATCTCTAACCTCTATACATTTCTTCTTCCTAGAGGTCATCTTCTTTCTGCTGTCTTTTCTAACCAACTCCTATCCATCCTTCAAGAACCCGTCAAAATGGTGCTTTCTCCCTATTGCCCTCTCTTTCTCTAAGCAGATTTGGTACTTGGCACATCATTGGGATGCAGTAAATGAGTTATAAATAATCATGCCTCTACTACTACTGTTGAACACGTTGATTTGTAATTATCTGTGTGTCTCTCTACCATCAGCATAAGATATCAAAGGGCAAGTGCCACAACCTATCTATCTTATTCCCTTCACCTCAAACACAGTAGGCAACCAAAAAATGTTTGTCAAACTATTGAATTGTCTCCCCTTAGAAGAAAATGCTGAATATTTCAATATTGAGTGTTTTAAATATTTTAATCTTAAAAACGTTGAAAAAGATTCCCTTGGTAATTCTACATTCCTGTCATGCCTCTAGTCACACAGTTTCATGATTGGTTGTTTCTTTGCCTCATTTTTTAAAAAAGTGGGGTGGGGGCATAAAATGAGCCTCAAATTCTCTTTAAATTCCAAAATGCTCTATAACTTTACCTATGTTGTCTCTGAGGTAGAGCATAGAGGATACCACAGCCAGTGCTTGTTTTGTTTCATTGATTGGTGGTAAAATTGATAGTATGGTGGTAATTTCTTGGCTACTAAATTATTTAGGGTGTTTTCCCCCTTATGCAGCATCTATGAAAGACAAGGAAGCATTTTTACCTGCATTGTGGATTTTATTAAATGGAGAAAATTATTTACCAGTGCAGAATTATATTTTTTCTCAATTTTGCTATTACATGCATTTTTCTCTGTGATTCCTATGGGAGTAAAATGATTCATAGACATAAAGTATTTTAGGGTAATTTTCATTGGGCTTCAACACAATAAATGTATAAGAAAGCTGCTCAGGAGAGTATGCCAGTGGAACCTAATGGAGTTGTATTTTTACTAGAGGGAAATTATGTCATTATGTTATACTGTGGAGGCCAAATATTTGTTAAATAAGACACATTGAAATGAACACTAAAAGCAACCTAGGTAAACACTTCACTCCAGGGAGGTGGTTCACAAAAGAAACAGTGTTATCCTTTTAGAATATAATTCAGATTAGTTTTTACTTCTGCTCAAACTCCTCTAGCATGTAGAATAAAATCCAGACCCCAGCCATGATTCACAGGCTGTCCACAGACCACGAACGGCCCTGCTATCTCTTCTGCCAGAGCTCATGCTGCTCCTTCCCTTTTCTCTCTACTGCAACCACAGCCTTCTGACTGATGTTCCAGTGCACCAGATGTGTTCTTGTGTCAGGAGTTTTATAGTGCCTGTGCCTTCCTCTTGAGAATACTCACTCCCCACTATATTGATCTACACCCCCAATTCATTCAGGTCTGTTGCTCAAATATCTTCACCCCAGAGCGACCTTCTCCCACTCTCCATCTAAAAGAGCAGCCCTCATCCCTCCGTCTTGTCCTGCTTTCTTGAATTTTCTTGTTTCTTAGCAATACCTGCCATTTTATTCTGGATTTATTTACTAATGGGTGTCTGTCCATGAGTAGCAACTTTGTCTTTTTTGATGCCAATAATGCCTTAAACTGTTATCGCTTTAGAAGCATTCAGATATTTATTGAATAGATGAGTTTATTGAATGACTCCCATTCATATTTCAATCATATCCTGGCAGGATCAGTCCAGATTTGACTAGTGACCAAAGTATAGAAACCTAAGGAGAAAAGCCTTTTTAAAAATGTACTTGGTAACTTTGGAATTTTGTTTTTTTCATTAATACATAGTTGATTATAACTGACTTCTTGTTTTAAGATATTTAAAACATGAATCATTCCTCTCCCTCACAAAGGCACAAAACCAGCTGAGCTTTTTTTTTTTAAATCACATTTCCGCACTTACTAGCTGGAAGTAGATGAAGTGTGGGTCATGTAATATGTTGTCAGCTGAATCCTAACAATGACCTAAAAGTGTTTTTGAAACTTTTAAACTATAAACAAGGTATGATTTCTGTTTTGGGTGTTGAGATTTTCTTTTTATATGAATTTAAAGACATCCACTCTTGGTAGTAATATGAAAGTATGGTAGGCAGGGTGCTGGCCCAGAGCAGTGTTGAGCTACATGGCAAAGATGTTTGGAATTCTTAAATCTGATTCCATATAGATCCTTTGACCCCTCATCAGAGCTATATAGAAAGTAATGACTTTGGGGGGTCATGCCCTCAAGAATTTGCTATAGTTCATCAGTTTTATGGTAGAGAGATTACTGTTATGTAGACTTTCTAGAATGTTAATCTTACTGGTAATGATCTTTTACAGGTGCTGAGAATAGATGAGAGTAGATTTTAAAGCATGCAATTCCACGGTTTAATTAAATACACTATTATCCTAGTGTTCTTTTTAAAAAAATATAATGAACTCTGTTAAAAAAAATACATACATATATTTACTGTGTCAAAGTGTGTGTTCTCTCCTTTGCTTTAATTGTTCACATTTTGTTCTTGCACTTCAGGAGTTGATAATATTTTTTAAATTAATTAAACAATAATCATTTTAATAAAAAAATACTTCATATGTAAGGAGTTAGCAAACTTTTATTGTAAAGGGCTAGAAAGTAAATACTTCTTTCTTTGTGGACCATATGATTTCTTTTGCATCTACTCAACTCTGCTGTTGTAGTGCGGGCAAAATATGAATTAATAATCCAACAAAACTATTTTTCAGCAACAAACAGCAGACTATATTTGGTGGTTTACCAACCCCTGTCACATATAACCATACCCCAGATTTTTAAGGAAGAAGATTGTCTATTTCTTGAGGGTGGAAGCTGTCATGTGGTAGAGAATCAAGCAGATCTATCCCATACATTCTAGTTAATTTCATTCAAATAAAAGCTATATAATAATTGATCTAATAGGAAGTCATGAATTTAAGTGGAAGACATCATCTCTTGTAATCCAGTGTCTCTCGTGTAAAAATATCTGCAGGATAAATACCACTTTATATTAGATAGTAAAAGAATAAAAATAAACTTTCCCTTCTTGGTTAATTGATTTGGTTTATTTTATCAGGCATGACTAATTACATTTCCCCTTTAGCCCTGACTGAGAACTAAGATCTAACTAGGACTAAGAGCTAAGTTTAGTGTTCTGTTGTAGTAGCCATCATTAGCCTAGATTTTCCAGTACCATTATCTCCCTTGACTTCATAGACAATACTGTTTTGAAAGTAGGTGGGAAAAAGATATGTAAATATCATCTTTTTAAGCCTTTTTTAAAAGACAAGAAGCATGGACTGGATGAGGAAAAGAATGAAAGGAGTTTTAGGTCAGAGTAAGCTAAGCAAGGCCATCAAGGTAGTATTTTCTGTGATATTGGACTGAATTAGATGGTATTGCAAAGCAACAACAGTGAAAGCACATTTTGAATCATAGGTTGGCCAGTTTCATCAGTAGAAATTAACTTAAATTACCTAATTTCTCAAGAGCATAAGTAAATAGCAAAATAGCAAGAGTTTTAGTTGGCGTTGGGGTCGCTGTTCTTGAGGAATTATTTATAGATTTTGGTAGTGAAACAGTTTAGCTTCACTAGTACTGTTTGCCGTAATAGTTATAATTATGTTCATATCTGTAAGGTGAGAATCGCTACTTTGTTAATTGCTCATATAAATTGCACAAATTATTTCGTAAAATACTAATGATCATTTACTAATTATTAACATGGTAATTCTTACTATATTTTGGAAATGTCTTTAAACCCAGAAAAGGTACTATTTTAAAGTATGCCATCTAGAATAAGCAATGCTTTAAATTTTTTGGCTTTTATGTTTGATTAAAATAGTAACTCTCATATATATTTATTTATATGTTTATATCATTTTGTTTTTGTAAATAATGTTTTCTAATTTTGATTTGCTTCTCTTTCAGTTGTTTTACAGGTTTGCAGCCTGGTCCTTTACCCAATCAAGTTCATTGAAACTGTGAGCTTGAAAATTTATCATGAGTTCAATTGGGGTTATGGCCTGGCCTGGGGTGCAACTATATTTTCATTTGGGGGTGCCATCCTTTATTGTCTGAACCCTAAGAACTACGAAGACTACTACTAGAACCAATAGTCTCAAATTAACAACGACGACAACCACCACCATTCAGCAAAAGAATTACGTCTGCATCTTTTCTAACTCACTATTTCCTAAAACACTTGTGGAGCATCAAGCAGTTTGCTCAGTTGATTTAATATCTTTTGCCTTTTGGCTGTCAACATCATAACTAGCTTTTACATTCATTTTAGGGACCCACACAAATTAAGAGAGCCGATTAGACATAGGCAAATGCTGCAAACTTCCAATATATGTTCATGTCATTTTCTTGACAAGTGAAGGGTCTATATGACAGCAACCATTGTGAGAAACTAGTTGGAATGCGAATTGCCTGAATCTCCTATTGCCTGCAGGGGAGCAGCTGGCATAAGCAACATTTAGAAGTTTCTTTGCACCGACAAGGATTCCACTGTTAGAGCCCTTATCGCCTGTTATCCCACGCAATGACTGCATTGACTGTTGGTTATTTGCTTGAGTATGAGTCCTTGAAAAGTGAATTGCCCTTCAGCATCTAATGGGAGTTGTGAATATAACTGGTTAATGGTACACATTCCACCTTCAAGAATACTCTTTTTAATGGGAGGTTATGCTTTGGCAATCAGCATCTCCCTGGGAAGGGAGTCAAGACTTGGAAATATGTGCTTTTCCTTATGTGGTTAGAAATTGTGCCTCAGACCTATCTAGAATGGGGAGAAATTGAGGGTCTCTGCTTCCCCTGGGGCAACTAGAGAGAAATGCATGAGTTGCTTTTGTACCCTTTAAATCATTTACCAAACATTGCAGCAAGCAATTGTGCGTATGTAACAAGCTTAAATGTTTTTATAGAAGGTGAACCTTTAGTATAAATGGTAATAAGTTGTTCCCTAACCCTCCACATATATTTGCCTATTACACGTAAAATTAATATTTGCTCTAGTGAAGTGGTTTGAACACTAACCTTGTACACATTATTAAGAGGCTTAGATTGGTATTCACACTTATTTACCATACTAATGTATGGTACCTTAAAGCTTTTTCTCTATGTTTGCTACTGTTTCACTGGAAAGTGTTAATAGAATTGCCTAAGAAGAAAAATTGAAATGGTGTTAATCTGAAAATTAATGATTCTACTGTAAGCACTATAGTTCAAAAGAGAGTAGCAATTAGGATGATCATTTTGTGTAAAAGTCATTAAAATAGAAGGCTGCTATTTTTTGCAAGTATTTTAAATGTCTTCTTTTTAAAAATAAAAAGGAATAGTGATAGATTTATATAAATGTCTAAATGTCTCAGTAGAGGAGTAGAAGTCATCTGATTGTCACCTGGTCCTCTGAAGTTAACTGATTGGCTAACTGATTTGTGCACACAATTACGATGGGTTTATGTTAAGGGAATCACTTACTGACTGTTCAAATGGAAAGAAATACCAATAATAGGGAATAAGTTTGCAACTAATCTCACACTGCAAACTTGTGTTAATTCTGTTAAATATACAAATTTGGATAGTTTTAATTATAAACATATTTTTATATCAAATATACAGTTCTAATATAAAAGTTATAAATAATTATTTTTGTTAACAAAGACAATAAAGCAGTATGTTCTGGTTTTGGCCCTCTTGCAGAAAGAAGCATTAGAAAGTTAATTTAAAATGGACCTATGTGTTACTGTATTGCAAAATCTGTTAAGAGCAGGACATATCAGTAGCATTAATAATTCGCTTTACTTCCCAAAGCAGAGTTCTGCTTTCAGCTTGTCTTAAGAATGGTTGCCAAAAACAATAGCCAATAAATAAATAAATATTAAAACTATTTTATTATTCAAATGCTAAAAAACCCCACTTATGTTAAGAATTTTATATAGACTCACAAATATGAAGTATGAGACTTATTTTAGCAATGATAGACAAAAGTGATTAAATACATCATAGAAATCTTTACAAAAGTCTATGATTTATAAAGAATCATAAGAAACTATGAGTGGAAATATCCCAGAAAGACATTAGTATTATAGAATTTTTTAAAGCAATTTTCTTGAGAAATAGTAAAATCTGGGGCAGACTGTCTTGCAGTTAATTGTGTATTGTCAGAGCAGCATGAGAAATACGATATTTGGATAGGGAATTCAGCAGCTAAACACCCTCTATTGTGAGAAGATGTCTTTATACCCAAATAATGGAAGAACTGTACTTTGGTGCTTACATCAGTGAGGCACTTTTCTTGGTCCTAGTAGAGGATGCAGTGTGCTGTTAAAACAATATCATGTCTCAAGTCTTACCAAGTTTTTATTCTCTGTCAATATGACAAGCTGGAAAGTGACATAAAATATGTTATAGGTTAAAGAACACATATTTGAAGTTTACTGAAAAGTAGATTTCTTATGTAACTTTTCCCCCTTCCCAGTGAAGAGCCCTATGCTATATTTCTACCATTATTAATTTTTGGAAGTGTTTCATTATTAACAAGTTCAGTACAACATGAAAACTGTTGCAGTACATCCAAAATACAATTTTGTCTGTCAGAATAAACATAGTGAAATTTTCTCCTACATTAACATTGTCTTTGCAGCTTTAGGTTTGTTTGATGTTTTCTTAAGCAAAATTGTTAACCACAAACCCATTGTTTATCTTAGAAATATGTATATACTCACACACATATAGCATATTCAGCAGGGCTAGTTATTTGGATTTCTTGCACAACTATTTAGCTTTTTGTAATTTCAACATGTAAATTTTAAAGACATAAATATAGAGAGACCTATGTGTTTGAAACATAAATGATATATATGGATTAGCATGTACCTGTATATTATTAAACATGCAATGAACTGACTGGTAAGTGATGTCTAATTGTATGGCTAGCAATGTAATTTATTCAGACTGTATTTTTGTACAGAGCAGCGCACACTAACCTATGCCTCTGTGTCCTCTTTAATGCCTAAAACTGTGCCTAGAAATTTCATCTGTCTTAAAAAATAAAATATACTTCATGCTGTTTATGCTATTAGTTTCTCTACTGCTATTCTGTATTTATTATTTTAAAATATATGACCTGTTTACTACTTAAATATGAATTCATGGTATCCTGGTTATTTTTTCCTAACAGTCATTTGAGAGAAAACCTGTTTATCACTCCAGTGATTTGAGTTTGCAGTTTCACGATCAGTTCTTCATTTCATAATTTTTGTAGTTGACATGAAGTTTATCTATGTGGAAAAAATTAAAATAAAAGTGGTTTCACTGGTGTTGTTTGACTTTATATTATTTCCACTATGTAAACCCTTTAGTTAACGCTTCTAAATAACATTCTTCATTCCATTTTCTCCTTTAAAATATATATTATTTAGAAAACTCAGCATTATATGACATGTTCATTTTGTTTAGAAAATTTTGGGCTTCTGCACTAGATAGGGGTCCAGTCTCTTTCTCCCCCCCCTTCTTCCCTCCCCCAAAAAAAACTAAAAAAAGAAAAGAAAATATTTAAAAATTTTTTATTATAAATTGTCTTCCAATATCCTTCTATTGTCTACAGCTGAGTTATATCAGTTATAAAAGGAATCCTATTTAACTTTCTGTTTTAAAATGTACACAAAGGAGATGTAGTGTGTAGGCTACCATTTTTATACTCTAATCACACAGAAACAAGTAGTGAAATGGTTTGATATTGTATTTTAGTTTTTGTGTAGTTTTCAGTTGCAGAGTATGTTAAAGTAGGTTTGCGTGTGTATTGTCTCTTTTTTAATTAGACACTCTATTCAGTGTGCATGTGTGTGTATGAAGAAATTGATTGAAGTCAAAATTCATCATTACACTTTGATGTGTATAAATAATGGTGAGTGTATTTGAAAAGCAATTTAAATTAGACATGCAATAAAATTTACTTATATGTATGCCAGAAAGTTTGCTTGAAGATATAAGTAGAACCATAGGCAATTGACCAGACTTTTGTGTGTTGATAAAATTTGTTTGAATATTCATCATAAAGACATTTTCATGTCTCATGAAACTTCAAATTTTGAGAGATTCACAGTATTTTTTTGCTAAAATACTGTAAATCACCTGTAAACCTCTGATATGTTTAATATCACCCTTTTGAAATATGCCTAATTTATGTTATAACATTTTCACAGTTTTTCTATCATTTTAGAAATTTTCCTTTTCAGTGGCCTTACTCCAGTTTGATGGAGTAACAGCATTCATTTGATGTATTATATTTTCAATATAAGTGCTTTCATTTTTATTCAGAATTCTCATGAGCAAATCACCTTTACGAACATGGCTTGCCTGGTAATTATCCATGACCCAGTTTCTCTGAATTTGGAAGACATGGAGACATAGTTTCACTAGGATTTGACAAGGAAAAGTCCTTTGCCTTCAGAGGTTTCATTGTGAACATAGAAAAGCAATTTCAATTTACTTTTCCATAATGACCATGTGGCCTGTTAGCAGTTTGATTTATGAAGTCAGGCTCATATTATGTCAACACAGTATTCCATTTTGATGGGTTTTAAGTCACTTTGGTTAGAAAATAAGTTGATAGTGAAATTATTTTGTATTCTGTAGACTAAGCCGCTAAATACCTAAATTATTAATTTATTGCTCAAATTTTCATATGACTGGGTTAATAGCTTTTTAGCAGTGGTATTAAATGAGATAAGATTAAAAGCAAATAATTAAAATTAAGTGTTTAGGAGTATTTTCACAGGAGGCACTAATTTATTTGAATAACTTCTATGTCAAGTATTTGGACATGGTATCATAGCAAATTAAGTTTTGAAATGAGACTAAATAAAGTCTATATAATAAAATGCCAATGGTTTTTCCTATATAAGGTAAGTTTGGGGGCTGTTGCAAGTCCTCACATTTGTAATGACTAGTGAATGTTGCCCTAGGCTGAGGGTCCATGTATCTATACTTGGGAAATCTGTTTTCAGATTCACTAGCTAGGTGACTCACGTTTATATTCTAGAAGTTTAATGGTTCCAAAGTATAACTAAGAGAACAGGAACTGAACTGTTCAAATGGGAAGGATAATATGTGGTGTTCCTAAGCCAAGATTAACAGCACACAAAGAATGGTGTTCTTTGTAAAACTAAAGCTGTGTTGAGTGGTTCACCAGAGAAACTCAGTTTTGGCAAGCAATTATTTCCAAGTTGAATGACTTCATAGAAATAATGATTATAAAAGAAGCTTGGAACAAGTACTGGAAAATCATGTCATCAAACCACCAGAAATCCTAAATACTTCAATCTTTGCATGTGACAAGAAATAATGACGATTTTGTATCTAAAGAATAATTACATATGTATGCTTATTTTTTACGTGGATCAGGATGTGTCTATGGGTGACCTGAATTGCTTATACTGTAGACGAGAGGCAATCAGGCATAGAGTTAAAATATTACATATATGAGATGATGGTATTAGAGGCTTCTCCTCACTTTTAACTTACCATCATAAAGGGAAAATAAATGGATGCCAATCCTCTGCACAGTCTACCTCATTTTTAATAAAAATATGGTTCACATGAAAGACATCAAAAACATTGTTTTAAACCAGAACAGGAGACGTTTAAGATTCTTACGAATGAAGAGTTAAATTGTTAAGGATTAAATGAAGAAGAAACACTGCTTTACTAGTCTTTGCTACTGTATATTAACTAAAAAGGTAGATAATGTTGCCATGCTTGGCAACCTCTTCCAGGTAAATTTCTGTAGTATAAAGTCATTTTTGGAGATTAGGACCCACTTTGTCTATATCACTGCTCAGCGGTAATATGACAACTTCTGACATCAAGCACAAGTTTTCCTATTTTTAACTCGTAGGTGTTTCTCACACATTATCTAGGTTTTACAGTTGTGTTGATTATTTGAGGCATGTAGTATGTGTGAAAGGGGCAAAGTATGTTGTAAAACATTTAACATGAAAGGCATGTTTCTCATTTGACTTCTAACTATGAATACTGTTTACCATTGGAACATATTAACATAAATTTGACAATATAGAAATCCTTCTGGAGGTATGTTTTACAAATAATTTCCAGTTATATTCTCTGAAGATGTTAATGTTAACCACTTCTTAATGAGGAATTTTGGAAAAATGCATTGCTCAGAATCTTTATCTTTGCAATCCTCAATATTTAGCACATATCTTTCCAGCCAACTTTTTTTTTTTTTTTGAGTTGGAGTCTCACTCTGTCGTGCAGACTGGAGTGCAGGGGTCACTCCCAGCCACCGCAGCCTCGACTGCTGGGCTCCCCGCCTCAGCCTTCCGAGTAGCTGGAACTACAGGCATGCACTACCACGCCTGGCTATCCAGCCAACTTTCAAGACATGGAATACTTTGAGTTGCTTTCCTCCATTGTTCAGGCTTGGATAAAAGTATTTCCCTATATGTCTCAGACAGTCAAGAAACATCAGTACATATTTAACCAAGCATTTGAGCTTTGGGAAGTTAAAGTATGATCCAAAACACAGCAACCTACTACTGCCATTGATTTCCTGACATCTTTGAATCAGAAATGCTCTGAAATATGAGACACCAATGAAGCCTTTTTATGATCATTCAAAAGCACTGTTTGACTTTAACTCGGCTTGTTTGACTATTGTGCTGTTTGTATAGAGAAGATACATGTAATATGCCATTTTCCCAAAGTTAGGCTGGCTTTGATCTAAATATAAATATATATAAATTTCATAATTTATAAACTTTAATTTGTGTAGTATTTTTATGGGAACATTTTTAGAATTGTTTATAACATGGAAATAAAAAGTTGAAGTCAGAGTAAGGATTGGGGGAAATTATTTGTAGGAAAAGGAGACAAACAGTTGGATCTTCCAAGTGTTGCACTTTAGTCATAATTGCATACTACCTGACTGGTTGATGTAATTGATTAGCTTTAGGGTTTATGCTCCACCCATAATGATTTCTAGGAGGACAGTAGAGGATTTGGCAGGCAGCCGTACTTGTACTATATAGTCCTAGACCCCCGGCCAGAAGTGATTAGATATGATGCTTCCTACTTTAAGCTAGCTCCCTCTGTTTCTCTTGTCCATTAATTTGGAATTGATCTCTGTATGTAGCTAGCAATAAAATGCATAAACTATGGTGCTTTGGGATGTGTGCAGAGATGCAGAGAAAACAAACTGAAGAGACTGCAGGAATGAGATAATGCAGAGAAAAGTAGTCATGAGAATCAGTGTAAGACCCAGAGAGAATGAAAGAATGGGTGGCCTCAGTTCCTAGTGAGATCAATCTGCCTTATTTTCCATGAAATACTCCTGTGTCCTTTCATTAATTTTTGTTTTGATTAAACCAGTTTTAGTTGGACACAAGAAAACCTTGACAAAGACCCCTTTGTTAAAGGATTCAATATTCAAATTGTGTTAACGCTCTAAAATAAAGTATTGAAAGGTACATGAAGACTTGTGTTTTTTTTTTTTCAAACTTCATATCCCACCCTGGGGTGCCCAACACTATATTTCCCCATCAAAAATTGATCCCAGATGTCTCATTCACAGTAAAATAGAAGTAAAAACATTTTAGTGTTAACTCTCCATTTTGTGTGTTTATTTTTCTCAGGATCGATGTCATGTGCTAAGAGGAGAACAACAATTATGAAATGGCATAAAAACTGTCCTAGAATCTCTGAATTCATGGTAGTTTCTCCCCATCTTACCTTTAGGATACATCTGCATTGGCCCATAAGAGAGCACTACTTAAATGTGTTCTCCAAAAATTCTAATTTTGTTGGCTTTGCTCATTTCTTTGTAAGACTGCACTTGAGGATTTCAGAGTAACGCCTCATACACATAACACTATCAACTGGGGTTTCTATAGCCTTGACTCTAGTGCTGCTTTGGGCTCAGGTAATCAAGCAAGTGGAAGTGGACTATTAATTGACTGTGGAAAGAACTCTACTCATCCAACTCCTCTGGAGACTTGACCTATATGACTGCTTAAGCAAGTCAACATAATAGTTACAATATGAATACATAATTATACACAAATATAGACAACTGAACTTAAGATCAGGACCTAATCTGCACATTTGTGTTCCCAACTCAGCCTAGGATTAAACAAGAGAAGGGAAGCAAAAATGGCCCCTTCTTCCTATCATGTTCTAAAGGCAGATCATGACTTGTTCATGAAAATCCATTGGTGTGATATGTATTTTAATCTCAGGTGTACCTATGACATGGATAAACATCTTCAGAAGGAAGAATGGGGTTTTTTTCTTGCAATGA